GAACATTGGTCGAAACTCTGAGAAATGACAGTGGTAAAACCAGTGATGATAGGTACAGTTGTTGGGTCAAGAGAAGACAACAGCAAACAGAACCTCTGTACACAGGTTAACCATAGAATTCGGTCGCCAACCACATTTCATTCATCATATACTGGGATGTATTTCAGTTACTCTTAAAGTTGGACTGTAGACAACATCCAAACTAAATCTAAAAGTTCCCCAGAGGATGAGGAGACTTTGAATTCTAACAAAAGTCATCTTCAATGTAATTTCTCCTGAATATCTATTACCATGGAATAAATACTTCAGCTATCAGCTCCAAATTCGAAGATAACTGGAATTCGCGAAAGAGAAACCATATGACTTGGAGCAATAAATGGAGTCAGTTATTAAAATTGAATCACAGCGTGCTACTATATCAAACTAAATTACCTAAAGGGGAATCTCATTCTGCCACAGTGTCCATGTTATACAGTTTCACTACTTATTCCATCTACAGTCAATCAAATTTAACTCATGAAGCACCAATAATTTAACAGTTACATTTCACCTACTATTATTGGTTGTTATTTGAATTACCTTATTTAACTGGTTTCAAGATCGACTTCATTTCGATACAGTATCAGCTAGAGAAACATTGGAAACAAAGAAGTACTTTATATCTTCTCCTACCTGGTGCGAAGAAGATGAGTGGTGCACACACACCATAGCATTCCAGCCCGACTCAAGTACATTACAACTGAGTTTCTGAGACATTTCCTCACTGATTACATGATTATCCAATTAGCTGGTAATCCTAAGTCACCAAGGTCCGTTATCTACTCACACTGTCAGTGAACCTTATATAGAGAAACAACACTTCATCAGAGCTTTCAAGGTTTACACTGCTTCACTGAATCACATCGTCATTGAAAGCATTGACTACTTCGCTTCAAAAAGCCTGTATCAAAAAACCCAACGGTGAACAACATGCTGCTGGAAAGTAATATCTCTCATTGTAATTTCCCATCCTATTTCAACAGCTGATTAGAACTTATGACTACACAGTCCACCTTTATAATTCGGACGTTGGAGAAAATGGACATATTTTCAGTCACCCTATAAGACACGAAGAGAGATGACATGTTCAACACGAAATACTTCAACACTCCCTTCGTCATTCACTGAACCAACTCTTCTCAAGCATTCTACACACACAGTCACTTGAACAAGATAACACAGAAAAACCAAACATGTATTTCGAAAGAGATTCCAAGTGTCTACAGGTTGGACAATAGCGCTTGCATTCAGATTCGTCTAGTTTAAGAGAAGGCAAGGATTAAAGATTAAACAATACACCAATACATGCAGAAATACAACCCCTTCAGAGAGATGGTGAAGTTTCAGGAGTCCACGCTGTCCACCAATGATAGTGACTACGGAATCGGTGCAACACTTAGATAGAGTGAAAGGGTTGTTGAGTACGCCGGTCGTGTTCTAACACACACGGAGCGAAAATATTCAACGGTTGAGGAAGAATGTTAAGCAATAGTGTTGGCGTTAGATAAATGGAGACCATATCTACTTAGTCAACAGTACCAAACCGAAACTCATTATGAGTCACTACGGTGGCTTAAGACAGAGAGGCATGGTCATTGTAGGTGGAAGACCTGAAGAAGTTGGCTGTCTTTGACCACAGATTGTTGAAGTTAGGCGTAGAGGTTTTTTAGGTGAGGAGGGTAACTCAGTTGATAAAGTTGTGAACGTGAATCGATCGGTGTGGCTAAATATGTGTTGTGTATGTGGTGCGACCTCCTTCCTCAATGAGCAACGCTAGCTAACACACGCTTAGGTTGGAGAAGAGTTATTGATTGGCCAACCAAAACATGGCAGCAGTCTGTAAAGTCTTCAGTAGTCAATCTGGGCCTAAGATGTAGGCAGTTGTACATTGTCTGCTTGTTTGGAATTCTCGGGGCGCTAATGTCCAATAGCTAATGACTTTTGATGGTATCGCTAAAAACAGTCTCCAATGGAGCAGATGAATTCACTCTTTTCGATCTCCTACATCCATTAAACTCTGATGTTCATCAATGTTACTAGTCTCTCTCTCTCTATCTTCGGTACATTTCTGCTCATTATAGTTCTTCTAAAGTGCTTTTCAATACCTCTGTGAGCTCTATATGGAGTGTGCCAACATGAACTGCTACACTTCTGTACAAAGTTCTATTTCGAAACTCAGTCATAATCTTCAAAATGCTAAGATTTGACGGGGTTTTTTTATGATTAAGTAAGAGAAGGAAGACAAATATACTTCGAATTCAATCGAATTATTTTATTTGAAGCACAAATTAGGTGTATAACACGGGCACTAAGAGATGCACCACACAAAAACAATAAGGCGATATATAAGGAGAGTAGGAAGAACACGAATGAGAGATGACAGCCATAAAACAAGCATACTTATCAAAATTATTCAACAGTCACCAGTTCATGGAAATGACACTGATCGAGATTTCTGGAAATATCTGATGACATTTCAAGACACCGATTCGAACTTTCGACCACATTCAGGGAGTAGTGATGCACCAACTGATGATAACCTAACACAATTGTCCTTTATCCCACTAGGCTTTGTTATACGCCGACGACGTCTCCGCTTTTCCCATCCAGTCCCAGTGCTAGCGAAAAGAGACGTGTACGGAATCCTCTGACATTCGTAGCACATGTCCAGGCGACCAAAGCTGGTGTTTCAAAATGACAACACTCAATGAATGGTGATCTCTACTGTATCAAAACACGTTATCGGACCTCAGAATAACTTACACGATCAAGCAATCGGACGCAAGCAATTCTACGGTGACAGCAATGATCGAATACGCAGCGTCGCCGCAGGTCCTCAGCTCAGAGAGGCCAGGTTTCACGGGAGTAGAGCAATCTTGCGGCTAATGAAGCATTTTAAACTAGACTTTTGACGGCTAAATTGACGTCGCGACGGCGCCAAAGGTGGCTCAAATTAGCGTTGCTCAACCTAGCTTTCAATATGCGACTGGAGATCTCTTCCGTCACCAGCACTTACAAAACTAACTTTTCGACAACTTTAGGCGGTTCACCAGCAAGGGTGAGTGTAGGTACAATCTCCTGGCGATCTCGCAATAGTACCTTGCACTTGGACGGTGCACAGCACATACCATACATACGGACACTGACCTCCAACTCACCAAGTACGACTTGGAAAGACTGAATGATATCGCACAGTGAAATGGTATCGTCTGCATATTCGAGGACGAAAAGTTTTTCTCTAGAAAGTAGACGCACACCATCACCAGGCACTTCCTTCAGCGCTCACTCCAGAATGTCAGAGTTAAAGAGAAATGGAGAGATAAGGTAACTGTGTCAAACCCCATCGTAGTTTGGGAACAGTGGTGATGGCTAGTTGAATACCCTCACTTTACATGAGGTGCTTCTGTTTAGGGTTTCAAGTTGTCAACAAACTTCACAAGTACACCTCTGGAAGAGACAGTTCCAAAGACCAATTCTGTCCAACGAATAGAAAGCAGTCCTGATATCCAAGAACACAAGGACTGTTTGCCCGAAGTACGTGTGACGGTGTTCCAGCAACTGACCATGTGTGAACAAATGACCAATGCATCCAAGATCGCCAGAATGAAACCCAGCCTTCTCCTGGTGAATCACTTCCTCACTTGTTTTGCTCAGCCTGGGAAGCAAGACAGAAATTAATATCCCAGATAGGAATGGCAGAAAACTAATACTCCTATGATTGGTACGCGTATTACCTAGATCCTTTTGTAAAATGGGCACGATCACGCCTACACTGCACATTGATGTAACATTCTCACTTTCCTAAACAGCCTAGACAATATCCTAACGAGAATCTAGCCGTCATCTTTATAAAGAGTCTGCGTTAGGTTGCGTGGATCGGGTGTCTTAAAGTGTTTCAGCACTTGGGTTTCCTTTTGGACATCGGCTTCGTTTTGTGGATCGGTATTAGCGAACCATGGAGCACTGTAATTAGTGAAGTTGACCAGGTACACTGCTTTATCGAAGTGCTCTGCCAGTGCTCAAAAAGTGTTTCCAGATTGGTTGGCTTTGCTACCCTTATGTAAACACTGTTTGATCTTACACGTAAGCGCCCTTTACATGTTGTTATGCTGGCTACTTCCCGGAATGGACCAGCGCTCATCCAGAAGTTGCAGGAAACCAGAAAACTAGTGTTTTTAGCGGTGAATGTTTTAAGCCGCAAGCGGCCTCAATTGCCATTTTCACAACGTCTTAAAGGTGTAGCCAATATTTACTAATAGTATTTCGAGGGTTGCTAGCTAGCCTTGAGTTTAACTCAGTCTGTCACTTCGCACAGCAAGCAGCTGCTACCAATGTACCTGTACGGGATGCCGTTTATGAAAACCGCAAAGTCGCAAGATGAACCCGGCACACTAAAGCATGTTCGAACTCCAGACACGTGCTCCGGAAGTGGCGTCAGTCCTATATGCATGCATCCACGCCATTCGAAACTCACAGCAATGTGATCAATCTGAGTCCAGGCTTGATTGGCAGAAGGAGGTTGCCACGTAGCGTCACGGCGATGACTGTGCCGGAAGCTGGTGCTGGCTAGAAATAGGTTGTGATCTGCGTTAAGTTGCAAAAGATAGTGCCATTGTCTGGCTAGTGACCATGTAGACTTCAATGATCCCTTGGACGGCTGTCTTCTGAGCGCAGATGCTCGACCTGTGCGTTTAAGTTACCAGCTAGCGATCAATCTATCTGAATCAAATTAATTGTCCGATAAAATAATCTACATTCAACAACTCGGTTGCTAGCCATTATGTGGGTGTGTGTGTGTGCATTTCTAAGAGAACTAAATTTACAGAGTTATGCGCCATCCAATTCGGAAAATTCATCACCAGAATTTATTTACTGCAACAAGCGAAATTTACTAATTCCTTGGTTGAATCTCCCCTACATGTTCCGCTTCTGCCAAGGAAAATTCAAAATCACACACAGCTCCTCACTCGAAAGAAAAATATCTCTTATATTAAGTGAATATATGTATATGTACAAAGGATGTTTTAAGATGTGTTATGCACAAAATACTGCTGAACAATGTTTCTATTTATAAAAATCAAGAATTTATTGGCACCATATAGCATTTCTTTTCCGTACTATGCTGAACACCGACTAAATATAATTCAGTGCATTGAAATAGATTTTCAAACACATGATAACCAAATTTACCATGTGTACGACTCATTAAATGTTTCAATATATGCGAATCGTCTTCCAAAATCATCTCTGGTGGTTTACTTAGGTCATCAACATCATCATTTTTATACTGAGTTAATATATCATTGACACATTGAACATATTCCTCATAAAATCCAATCGGTATTCTCTCTAAATGCTTCTGAAGTAAAGAATTTTCAGCTGTCAACGGGCCATGTCTAACTCGTCTAGCCTTTGATAACAGAGTAGCTGTACGTAGTTTTGGACCGAGATTAGCAACAAGATCAGTTAGAAACTTCAGTGTTTCATGTGCAACTTGAATTTCTGTGTAGAAAAGTTGGCAGGCAACAACAAATTAACAAACGGAAATAAATATCAACAATTAATATAGACATTTATAACAAGACTGTAAGACACTTTTGTAAATATTTTAGAATTTTAGCATGTACCTCATTCAGGTGGGGACAATATTGGTGAGGCTTTGTTTGCTTAGCTGGACAAATCAAGTGAAAAGCTCTCATTGTCCTTCCAAACAACACCTTAAGCGCGAATTTCAGTATGAATTGAGCTCATTTGTGTTCTCCAGGAACGTTGACATAATTGTATCTTCTATAGTTTGGTTTGTAAGGGTTAGTTATGCTTTTACGAGTTGATCACGGACTGATATCGGTTAAACAACCATTGAAAACCAGGGAGTACTGGACAGCTGCTGTTTTATCCTAGTTTGGGAATAATCGGCAGTACTCACCCACTGGGATTCGTATACCATTCGGCCACTGAGCTTGCCTTGGTCATGGATTCGAATCCCAGTGGGTGAGTACTGCCGATTATTCCCAAACTAGGATAAAACAGCAGCTGTCCAGTACTCCCTGGTTTTCAATGGTTGTTTAACCGATATCAGTCCGTGATCAACTCGTAAAAACATACTTGTATCTCCTCATGACAACCTCATTGGTTGTTAATTTACATCTCTGTTGATCATTTTTTATTGAGTTGGAATTTCAAAATTCTTGCCACATGATTAGTCGTTTGTCAGTTAGTAAATTTGATGTATAGTTGCGGTGACCTTGGACCATTTCAGTGTGTGTTTGTAAAATCAGCTGCTCGTGTGGAGTTAGTTATTTTGGCTGCATAAAGCGCACACTTTGCAAACGCATCTCTTAACATTACTCGACATGGTTAGTTAAAGGACAATGCAAGATAATTCTCGAGCACTTGGTGAACTCAAGCCACGCAGTTTCACTACAGTTATCTTTCAAGATTATCTACAAGGTGAGGCCAAATGGAACAAAGGGCGTCAGCTTTCGGCATCCTTATATGGTGGAGGAGTTGGCAATTTGTCAATGCACCTACGAATCCTGTACACAGAAAACGTTTGTCCAATCTCTTACTCTACCAAAGTCTTAACCTCTACACTAGTCGTTCCCTGTAGGAAATTTTATTTTTAATTTTACTTTTATATTGCTTTTACTTTAATAATTAATTCACTGTCATCACTATCATATGTTCCTGTTTTACTTCCTCTCACCCTCTTCACAATTGTTAAATTGACGCTCAACTACCTTTCTTCTCACTCAATAAGAATTTTAGCCTTATCAAATTTCTAACCCTTTCTTCCTTTGTGCCGTTGAGTACTACGTAGTTTACAGCTTTGACATTTACTTCTAAAGCTAATTCTGAGTAATCATGCCAATTATGTCACCCCCTATTACTCAAAAATAGACTACTGTATATTTCTGGTTAACATAAATACGACTGTACAGCCTCTGACGATGATTTCGTCGAGAAAGAAGCATTTTCTTCGCTGAATTGTCTCTTATTTTCTTCAGATCGAAATATCAACAAGAAACCATCCTCAAAAGCCACAAGAAAATTCACTCTACCATATATAAACAATATCTCTGAAATAACGGCTAGAATGCTAGAACCATTTAAAGCAGACATATCACACAGGCCAAGGCAATCACTTCATTCAGTATTGTGCCGAACAAAGGAGCCAACAACAGAAAAAGAAGATAAGGTCATCAACATATACAAAATAAACTGCATAAAATATGATCAACACTACGTCAGTCGAAGTGGGCATCCTCTCCAACTCAGAATCCAAGATGATAAATTAGCTGAGGAAAGACATGGTATGTATTCACTCAGATCGATGCTTATGAGCAATTATGCACACCAATTCGATTGGGAGAATGTAGAAACGTTAAACAGAGGAAACACCAAAAATGCAGTCAGGGAATTTCTAGAAGTCTGGTACTCAAATGAATCAGGCATTGAAACAACTCATTACTATGCATCAAATTTACTAACTGTTAAAAGACTAATAATCATGTGACAAGAATTTTGAAATTCCAACTCAATAAAAAATTATCAACAGAGATGTAAATTAACAACGAATGACAACCCGAATGAGGTTGTCAAGAGGAGATACAATTATGTCAACGTTGATGGAGAATTCAAATGAGTTCACTTCATATTAAAATTTACGCTTGAGATTTTATCTAAAAGGCGAAAGAAAGCTTTGCAATTAAACCAACCAGCTTAGAGAACATAACTAAATCAAAATCATCCACAAAGCTTCTCTATTATATTACCTTCTAATACTTTTATCATCATACCCTCCCTTACGCGAGTAGATGAATGTGAATGCAGTGCAATGAACAAGCTTTTTCCAGACTACTTAATTTAACAGGATCAATCATTCCCCCCGGCCTACTTGTCTGATCAATACAGTTAACCTCACAGTCACTCTGCTTGGTACTTAGTAAATGTTAATTTTCCCGAATTCTATCTATGAAATCCTTCAGCCGACATAGTCCGTCTCTGGTTCGTTTAAGTGCCACGCAGTACCTCCAAGGATCCCTATTAAATTCGGTAGTACGAGCTAGGCTTTGAATTCCTTATTATTTATACTACTCTCATTATTCGAAATATTATTACTTCTCTTTTTGGACCTTCATCGATTTTCGAATACTTTCTCGTGGCTAGGCACTGACCAACAAAATATCCAGAATCAAGAGATACTGATCATCCATACATCTCCCAATCTATCAGCACACATGCATGCTGTGTCAGCTAAAATATTGTAAGCACTTCCCATGCCTTTAAGTACCATGTACTGTTTCATAAAAAGGCATCTTAGAAAAAGAAGCACCAATTTAAGTTGTCACACATGGAAAAAACTACGCACAGAAAGAATACAAAAGAAAAGAAATAGGATGACATTACTTACAATGGACAAATACGAGTCTGGCAGAGGGTAATATTTACCGGAGGCTAATGGAAACGGTGTGAGCCACTGGTTCACTTGTAGCACGCTCACCAACCACCAACGGGCTCAGTGACTCAATCCCCAGCCAACGCATCCCTGAACCTCGTTTAGCCGGTGGGTAAGCCTGTTGAGGAGGGGAGGAGGGGTATAACCCTAGCAACCATACTCCGTGAAAATAAAAACCACTGCTACCGAAACCTCAGAGCTTTGGCTTGAAATTTTATGTCTCACTGGGAACGTAAATGAACAGAAATAAATTATAAAATCGCAGAAATAACAATAATGAGTGTAGACATGTCTGTGCTGCTGCAGTCGACTTTACACCTATGGTCACTAGGAATTCCAAATCACTGGTTTTTAATATCTCGAAGGCTCTTATCAAACTGTCTATACTCTCATTATATGATTCAGACGGGCACTCACAGACTTCAGTCTAGGTCCTATACTAACCTGTAGTGAAATTCGAGGAAGACAATGGTTCACCAACGGGCGTCGGTGGCACGGCGGTTAGGACGCTCGCCGACCATACACATGGTCCGGGGTTCGATCCCCGGCCACCGACGCACTCCTTTGCCTCGCTAAACCACAAATAAAGCTGGTAAAGAGGAAAGGTTGGGCATGAAACTAGCAACCCCTGTAAAATCCTGTAAAAATAATCACCACTGCTACAGAAACTTCAAGCCTCCAGCTTGAAGCCCTATGTTCCACTGAGGAACGTGAAGGAATAAAAAAAATGGTTCACCAAGCGTAAGGTGACTCTTAGCCACCCTAATATGTGAAGATTTGCCAAGATTACCTTCCTATCTAGCACTGTCCTTGACCATAAAACTAACCCTGAGATCCCATCAAGTAAAGTAAGGGCAATACTAAAAGGTCAATCGTCGTTAAGAACTTGTTATCTCATCATATCATCACCTGTCACCGTATTTTGTATCCGTACAGTAGAAATGAATGCTAAGCAGTAAACCTTCTCGTTGACTAGTCCTTCCTTGAATATCATATCAACACAAAAGGTGACGGAAAGCGGAGATTGCCAGGTGAGCTCTTCTGTATGTTTCAGTTGAGACTTTGTTTGTAATCATTCTATTTAGAATGATAAAAATCTCCAAATCGATGGAATGGTGTATGTACATTCCAACGTTCCACGATCTTAGATTAAAATCAAAATTGGTTTACACAAGTCCAGTTGCATAATCTTACATTCGATGCGGGCGAAACACATACAATGGACAATCTATTTTTGGGCATATTCCTGTAGAAAAGACTCTCCACTTCTTAATGTCTTCAGGCATTTGAACTAATTTGCGGTGCACCATTTCAAACAGAAGTAGTAAAAAGGAAATAATCAATCAGTAACATGTTTACAGTATTACACATACCGATTGTAAAGAATGGTGGATCGAAATCAACACAATGCAATGCATTGACATAAGGAGCCATTCGTCTTCTTTTTGCTTCTCGCACATACTTACGACCAGGTAGAGTTTTTGGAGAGGACATTTCACCCGGAAGTCGACGCTCCCATGGTGAAAGTAGCTGTTCTTGTTCTTCAAAATCTTCTGTATTCTGCACAGCTTTTACAGGACGTAGATCATTGTTAACACTACGACCACACAATGCTAAATAGGCATTTTGAGAGTTAGGGCGGAGACCTGCCTGTAATAATGTAGAGGTATTAAACTGAGCTTGTAATCCAACAAGAGCTGCGTCTACTTTGCTCTTATGGACATGTCCTGCGAAACAGATTAAAAATACAATGCACTTTATTACTGTGTACTTATATTAGAAAAAGCTAACAGTTAGAGTGGTGAATAATAGTCAGACAAACTAGGATAACCTAGGACTAACAGACTAGGATTGATTTATTGGCTGATGATTGCAGGTGAAACAAAAGTCTTTATCATCTGATTCATAAACTATACATTCTAGATTGCACACTTGATCAATGAGTAATTCAAAACAATGGAAGATCTACCTACGCAAAGCATAATAATCCACACCAATTCATATTATCCTGAAACACCACTCAGCGGTGAAATATACTTGGTTTGCAGCCCTGTAGTAAATATTTACAAAGAATCATTTTCACTTCTGTGTATTTACAATCTACAATATAGAGTCATTTAAAAAATTTCTGATGGCATGGATGGCTGCTATATTAATCTTCCAGGAAGTGATAATCGCCCAAACACCTCCGTAAGTACAGAAAGCTCTCGTGATTATCACCCATCTTCATCTTCTTGCCTTTTTCCCAGTGCTAATGCCATTCCACAGGTAGATTCTCCACTTCCTTTTAACTATATAATAATTGATATATAGTCAAAAGGAAGTGGAACTAGAATGTTGGAAAGAACACTTTAAGGAGCAGTTTAATTGCCCTAAAGCGACGCTTAACCTACCCAGGATCCAACATCTCACTGAATGGGATATAGACACAGGTCCTCCGTCCCTAGATGAGATTACAAAAGCTGTCACAGTCTGAAACGAGAAGCTGAGAGACCCTATGGAATGACTTTAGAGGTGTTTAAAGATGGCGGAGACAGTTTACTAACATTGTTAACTAAGGCACTGTGCAGCGTCTGGGAATCAGAGACAGTTCCGTCGGTCTGGCGTACGTCATTGATTATCCCAATTTACAAGAAGGGAGACAAGTCTTCCTGTGATAATCACAAGGGGATTAGCTTGACTAATATGGTATCTAAAGTCCTGGGCTCAATAACCATGCGTTGACTAAGCGGTTCTCGGGATGAACAAACAGGAGAGAACCAGGCAGGCTTTAGACCAGGAAGGGGGTGTATCGATCATATCTTCACCCTCCGACAGATTCTGGAACAGAGATATACTTACTGGCGTCCAACAATCGTCATATTTCCTGACTTAAAGGCGGTATTCGGTTCTGTCAACCAAGAGGCACTATGGCGACGTTTGGCCGTGAAGGCACTGCCGAGGAAATACATTACACTGATTAGAGCACTCTACTCGAACTCATGAAGATGTACTAATGGACTTAATGGATCTTAATTGCTGACTTCAGCGACTCAGGGATTAACTTGTTACCATCAGGGAATAATCTCGTTGACTTAGAATATGCAGATGATATAGTCTTTCCTGCTATGTGAGTAAGACGCTGATAGACTACATATGGAAATGCTTGTACTAAGTGTAATAAAAGCAATTGGTACAATAGACAGTTCAGTAGTTCAGTAAAAACCATCACTTATCAATTTTATTGTAGACACCAGCGTTTGAGATACAGGTACATTCAGATGAGGAGTATGAATAGAACGAAATGCATCCTGCACCAGGAACATGATAATAACAATAATAATACACTTATACTAACACTTATAATAACAATAATAATACAAATTGAAAATGGCATAAGGGCACACGCACACTTCATAACCCGAAAAAATCTAAGTAATCAAAAATGAAGCAACAATCTTTCGATCTACTGAGAACACTATTACTAATTACCAAGAGAAAATAAAATGCTTACTCCAAGGAGTTCTTAAAAGTGTAGTACTATTAGCTGTTCCATCTGTAGACGAACGTCCCATCATACAGGTTAAGTGGTAGGTTTTAAGCCAAGACGATTGTTCAAATTTATTCGCATGATTGTAAACACCATCTTCGCCAATACCGAAAACTATTGAGTAGAAAAGGCATACATATTATTCAAGATAATCTTACCTTGTACACCAGACATGAAATCACTCAGAGGATCAATAGCATACAGCATAATATCACCTGGCATGAAACGTCTACCCAACACTTTGAAATATAATCAAAGAAAAACTATTTCAAGAATTATGCATATACCCTGGTCACTGTCTACAATATCCGGTTCTGTACTTATTTTCAATAGTTGTTTATTATGGCTGCATGCTTGAATCGATGTGCGTACTGATTGTCTCTCACAAGGAAGTGAGTTGAAGGCTAGTAGAAAAAGAATTTTTATATAGCAAATAAAACGACAGACCATCCGCTAAACAACGCTTTATACATCTGCTTAATCTATCAATATTTGTCTCTGGTGATTTATAAACGCATAATATCCCGTTCAGTAGATTAAACAATTGAATACGTCCAGGGTTATACATTACTTAAAATACCTTAAAATGAAAACAAAGACAAAAGTTAGTAGAGCACTGACAGCAACTGAGCTATAGATATTAGCGTAGTCTATAACTCCAGTACACACAGACAATGAGTTGCATTATTTCTAGCCACTGATTATTATAAATGTTTGTGTTCAAGCTTTCGTATTACGTATGGCCAGCAATAATGAGGTTAGGCGTGAAGTTATGTCGCTTGAAATGGCTACGGTATGGGTTGCCTTGTTGCTTTGACACGGGGTGGTGGGAAGAGTGTTCTTGTTTAAACTTTTTGTTGCAGTGAAAGCCATTTTCACTAACTATTAAAACGCTGAACTGTGTTAACATACCTTCTCATACGATTTCATTTTTGCGGCTAAAATTCTTCCACGCCACAACTTATGATACAGTTCGGTTTTCCCAAAAGTTTCATCACTACCCCCAATACGTTACATCTCAATTCAACACTCATAACACATTTTTCGCATATGGAATGCTGCTTCATGTTTCTCAACAGTACATAAATGGACAATTGAAATGCATATTATACTCATTATCCTTAGCATATATATATATATATATGTATTTAGTACGCGATGCTTGGTGTACTTAATTACATATCGTCAGCACTTCTATTTCCCAATTCAGTACCTCTTTTCAAGTTTCATCAAATAGTGATGTCAGTTACAGAACCAGTGGAAACCATGAATTACTGCACAACGGTATCGTCTCAGTTTGCAACTCAGGTTGTACGCACCCACCGGGGTGCAAATCCAGGACCTTCAGACTACAGGTCAAGAGTGTAGACCATCCAGTCACTGGGACCTGACTGAATGGTCCATGAGTTCCAACGCCTGACAATTCGTGGCTTTAGAGCGACTGGCACCAGCCAATGTCATCGGCGAATATCTGTCCTCACTCCCGATCGGGTCGACCCCATTGGTCACGCCTTCTCACTAGAACTCCACATAACTTAGTCCTGCAGCCAGTCACTAACAAGCATCACATTACTGTGAAATATTTTATCAAAAGCTAATAATTAACATTTGCTTTTAAAATACAATTTGATTATGCAGCTAAGACGAGAAATCACCATCGGCTTTTATTTGATCATGGATGCCACAAACAATGTGAATTTAACAAACGTATTAACAAGATCACTAGATAGTTCATTGAGATTCATGAATCCACCGTTCTTAGTACAAGTTGTATTTTTTAAAAGTAGATTCAGTACATTTACAAAACTTATGCACTTAATATTTCACAACGGGATAATGAAGACAGATTTTAAGTGGCTGCAGTTAAGTTGAATTTCACCAAAAAAGCAAACTAACTAGGCTGTCTGTCTGGATTCAACATAGAACTTGGCACCGAAGTGCAGCAGTTCAAGTTGCCACGTTCCAAAGAGCACACAAAGGTAGACAGGAAAATGGGTGAAGAGAATCAATAGAGTTTTGACAGGTATAAGAGTGAAACAGAATGAGTAATGGTAGAAAGGAATATGAAAGATTACAGAGACTAAATACATCTGCGCCATTGACAACGATTTTGAGCCATGTCACCTATTGTCTCCAGCCATTGATTCTTAGAGTCCCGAGAGCCCCAACCCGGAAGTCTGCATCTCCCTACCTGACTCAGTTTAACTGTCAAGGATTTCATGGATTGATGAGGCCATGTTTTTGTTTGCCCACCACTTACTCTTTTCCAACCTGCACCTATATCAGCTAGTAATGCCCGTTGGGGGGGGGGGCGATGGTTAGGCATGCGCAGCATGTGACCTAGCCATCTCAATCTACGTAACTTTATAGCCTCATCGATTGCCCATGACTCTACGCCTAACGTCAACATTACTTATCTTATTATGCCACCTAACTTGAGAAAGAGATCGTAGACATCTATGATCAAAAACAGTCAACCTTTTCATGTCTTCAACTCGTATTGGCCATGTTTCAGAGCCATAGAGAAGGACGGAGAGAACTGCTGAGCAGTACACACGTCCCTTGGTTGATAGCCGGATGTCACGCCTGCCCCAGAGATGGTGTAAGTTAGCGAAAGCACCTCGAGCTTTTTGGATCCGTGCTGAGATTTCGTCGCCAATCAGTCCGCTGGTGCTGATACAACTTCCCAAATACGTGAAGTGGTCAACATGTTCTATCACTTCACTCACTATCACTAAGTTAGGGGTAGACGTAGTCCAGTCCTGTAGCAGCATCTTACATTTTACAGGGGCGAATCGCATGGCAAACATACGAAGATTGCTGCTCAAGGTGTTCAGCATCCTCCCCTAACATGACTATGTCATCTGTCCATAAGACTATTCTCTGGTAACAAGTCGATACCTAAGTCGTTAAGTTCAGTTAAGAATACTTCCATTACCATATCTATGATGAAGTTAAACAGGAATGGGGAAAGTGGACATCCTTGACGGACACCACTGGTTGTTAACAATTCAGATGACAATTCCCCATAAGCCCTTACACGGCTACGTGAGTTTTAGTAGAGTGCCTTGATTAGTGCAATGTACTTTCTTGGCACTCCCTTCACAGTCAAACATTGCCATAGTACCTTTCGATCCACGGAGTCGAAGGCCGCCTTCAAGTCAAGAAATATGGCAATTGTTGGACGCCGAAAAGTGTGTCTATGTTCTAGGATCTGTCGGAGAGTGAAGATATGATCTATGCACCCTCTACCTGGCCTAAAGCCCGCTTGATTTTCCCTCGTTTGTTCCTCCCGAGTTCGGCTTAGTCTGTTCATGATTACTGAGCCTAGGATTTTAGAGACTATGTTCGTCAGGCTCACTCCTCTATGATTATCACATGAGGACTTGTCTCCCTTCTTGAATATTGGTATAATAAGTGACTTACCCCAGTCTGATGGAACCGTCTCTGATTCCCAGACGGTACCTAGTATCTTAGTTAAACTACATACTAGTATGTCACCACCATATTTAAACACCTCCGGAATAATTCCGTCGGGTCCTGCCGATTTGCCTCGTTTCAAATTAAAGATAGCTTTTGTGACCTCACTTACAGACGGCGGGACAGTGTTTATATCCCATTCGGGTGTGTGTTGGATGGCGGGCTAACTAGACTACCTACCAAAGAATGTAGAATCGATGTATTGCCAAAATTTAAACCAGACTAGTGTTCACAATAATCTAGTGTACTAGATGGTCATTAAAGAAAAAATAAAAACATGTGCTTGATCTGTGATGCAACCACAGCCTTGGTTGGTCTAATACAGCACTTCGATGGCTGAAGGCTGGACTTAAGACTTCCTCAGAAGTTAAACTATAGCGACCACGTCGATTCACCTTACCACACACTGTGAGCAACTAGACAATTAAGGAGCAATAAAACTTACAAAATTGTTAAAGATAACGACAGATCATGGTATTCTGAGGTCTGTTTACCTTACAGATTCTGTTCTTTATTCTACCCAAAAATTCTAATCTTCCCAAAAGACCAGTTATCCTAGCAAGCTTCCCCACATATGCGTGCTATTCCAGTTAATCCATTATTTACACAACAATCAAACACCCTGTCACCAAACAATCATGGAATTTGTCAAGCAAATTCAGAACAGAAGGCTGGGTTTGACTTGGTTGTAACACACCTCTAAGTGCTTGTCAACAGTCATATATCAGAGTGACTGCTATGGTTTAATATCCCCCGACGTTTTTGCCTAAGATACTAACCCAAACTGTTCCTTGACATTTACCTAAACAGACAATCTGGTGAATTATAAAGTCCAACCTACAGCTTCTTGACGTGATGGTCTGGCTTGCATATCGCAATGATCCAACAAGCTAAAATAGCTGGAAGTAATGCTCTTGCAGGTCCTACCGTTCCAGGAAGATTGTTAGGATAGTGATTGGACTAAAAGCAGTTACAGGCAAAGTGTACGATTTGTAACACCATACATAAACTAAAACAGATTAGATAATTGGAAGTTGGATAGTGAGGAAAAAAAGGTTAGTTTTGACATCGCAAACTATTATACACGTATGTCGATAAATATGACTATAAAAGCAGTCAAAAATGAACTCATTTCTGACCAAGAACTTGAACTTAGAACAAAAGTGCCGCTAGAAGACATAATGCTAGAATTGCAGCTGTGTTGACTTCCACAATATTTAAACTCAAAGGGAAAATATACAAAAAAACTGAGGGAGTTGCCGTGGGGTCACTAATATCCCTCAGAGTGGCAGATATATTTATGGATAGGTGGGAAAACTTAGTGATTGAAACATTCAGCCCTACGCCCAGAGTATGGTGGTGGTATGTAGATGACAAATTTACCATACTTAGAGCACAGGACATTAATAGATTTTTGAACAAATCAACTCGAGAGTAGAGGCAATTCACTTCACTCATGAATTGGAAAGTCAGGAAGCGGAGCTTACAATGTTAGATTGTAGTGCAAAAAGCAAAAAAGGTGAGAAGTTAAACATAGCGTTTACAGAAAACCTACATATTCAAACCGATATTTAGATTTCGGATCATCCCACTCTATGTCAGCAAAATAAGGATTGGTGAAATGTTTAAGTAATAGGACACAAAAACTAAGTAGTACCAAGGATATTCCAAGAAAGGAAGTTAGGCATATAAGAGAAGCTTTGGAACTTAATAATATCCCAGATAAATTAATCAGGCAGTATTTAGGAAATGGTAAAATGAAATAAAATTAATAATAATAATAATGTCAGTAGTAGTAATACTAATAACAATACTAAAGACGACTTGCATGTCAAGCATGCACACCATAATGACAACACCAACAATAGGGAATTCAAATCAACAGTAGTATTTCCATACAGAGAAGGAATCTCTGAAACCTTATGCAGAATTCTTAACAATGCAGGAATAAAAGTGACAAACTAAATTAGAAACAAGCTTTGTGGGTTAAAGGATCCTGTCTGTTAAGCCAATTAAACAAAATCTAGTTTATCTAATACCGTGCTGTAGTGACTGTCAGGTCAAATACATTGGTCAAAGTAGTAGGATGACACTAGTCAA